TATAATGTTACTTCTAATTGAATACCTACTGCATGTCATGTATTGTGCTGGAACAGTTGATCTCAAACTTTACTAAACTTCAGAATCACTTGGAGAGATTTCTAAAATCTCTACAAACCAATTAAATTTCTAACTCTAGGAACCAGGCCTCAACATTTTTAAAAACTGCTTACATAAGTATGTTGTGTAACAACATTTGAGAACCACTGGGTTAGTTGATGAATATACATTGCCTATTTAACCCTACCAGCAATCCTGTGAGGCAGGATGTATTATCCAGTTTTGTCATTGAAGAAATAATTCCTGAGAAATTAAGTGATGTAATAACTAATGGCCAAGATCTCTGATTCTTTCAGTTCTTGAGCCCTATAAGTAATTCTTACTGATTCATTTGCAAAAGTTTTCCTTTTGTAATTGTATACCTTTGTATAACGTATAATAAAGTTGTAAATGTATAACTTTTTTTCTATCACCTATTGCTTTTCTAGAATGTCTTAACCTTGTCACTGGAAAATTATAATGTATATGTCTCATTAGCAAGATGTATTTGTTTTTCCTATGTAACACTCACCCTTCATACCCTCCACTTAAAAGTAGTAAAAGCCAAATTATGTATTTACTACTTAAAGTACTGTGTATGTGTGAATAAGAGTTTGACTTGGAAATGCTCAGGAGTAAATGGTTATCCTATTAATTTTCATAAAATGTGATACATTATGGAGATTTTAGCTATTTCAGATATATTTAAAAAATGAAAGCTAGCTAGATATCAGATTTTTTTTTTGTATTGAGAATGTTATTGTATTCACTAAATGTTGAAAACATTTCCCCAGATATTACCCTGTGATAAGTCAAGAGGAACTGAGAAGAATGTATTATATTATCTGGCATTTCATCTTGAAATAGTGGTAAACTTCTCAGCAAAATAAACTTTAGGAAATTTATTTCAGTTGTAATAGAAATCTGAATTTCTTCATGAAAAGTTACTTGGAAAGTACTTTGAAATATACCTCTACTTAAAAAACAAAGAAAAAATAGGTGCTCAGTGTGATGCCTTCTCTTCCCCCTCCACACATGTATTTTTGTAGATAAATTAATATAAACTAAAGCTATGTATATTGAAGATATGAAATTATAATTAATCATGAGTTAGAAATATTTATAAGATGTAGTTGAGATGGATTTTATGCTCAGTAATTTTTGTGTATACATGAAAGTGTAACATTAATAACTGCTGTCAATTTAATATGATTTAAGAGGATAATATATTTAGAAGCAACTAAACTCTCTAATTTGATATATGAAATATCAGCCTTTGAGTTTATACCTGGGCTAAGTTAGTCCTGGCATTACCTATGTGTATTTTGTATTGCTATGTGTACTTTACCTCTAAGTTCAGATGCTATATTTTCATTAGAAATAGTTGATTTGGGGCCTCCCCGGTGGCGCAGCGGTTGAGCGCTGGGTTGCGAAGCTGCCCACAGCCTCTGTGGCGCCGGTTCGATCCCCGGCTGTTCCCCGGCCAACGGAGGAGGGTCCCACATGGCGCGCAGACCTCTCCTGCCGCCCGCTGCTCCCCTCAGCAGTGTCCTTCGGTCCTTCTGCCTGCTCTGCTCCCCACTCTGGCTCTGGTGAATTCTCTCACCCTCCCGCGCTTCTGACTGTACCCAGTGCATGTATAAACAAAAAACAAACAAATAAATAAATAAATAAATAAGTAAAACATACCTCTAAAAAAAAAAAAGAAATAGTTGATTTGTATTTAGATGTCATGAAATTTGTAGTTGAATAATATATCTACTTACTAAGTTGTTCCAGATAGTTCCAATGGTTCATTGTCATGAACCATGCCACATGAGATAGAATATAGAGCAGATGATGTCTGTCTGGGTATAGGACAACTAAATTGCAACAAAAGTATTATCTACTCAACTAACTTATCCTCAAAACCTAGGGTTACAAAGATTCTACCTCGCTTTATATAATTTCTAAATTCCTAACGGTATAAAAGGGAAGATTTGAGAGGAATATAACAAAAAATGAATAAGTGTAGTGAAAACTGCAGTTAGGTAGATTCATTATTTAAGAAATAATTGGATATACTCTGAAAAGCAGGGCCTCCCCTGGTGGCATAGCAGTTGAGCACTGGGCTGCAAAGCTGCCCACAACCTCTGCAGCGCCAGTTCGATCCCTGGCTGCCAGCGAGGGTCCCACATGGCATGCAGGCCCCTCCTGCCACGCTCGCTGCTCCCCTCAGCAGTGTATTTCGTCAGTCTGCCTGTTCTGTTCCCCGCTCTGGCTCTGGTGAATTCTCTCACCCTCCCGCGTTTCTGACTGTACCCAGTGCTTGTATAAATAAATAAAAATAAAATCTTTAAAGAAAAAAAAAAGAAAAGCAATATGTTAATCAAAAATACAAAGATATATATTCATCATTTCTGCCTTGAAACTTTTTCTGGAAGATAAGGTGATATACACTGAAATATAAGATATAATGTAGTCTGGGGTACTTTATTTTCCTACATTGTATTAGTTTCATGGCTGTTTCTTTTATCTTTCTACCATATTTTCAGTGTTAGAGGGGAAGACCTGTGTCTTGTCATTGAATTTGCCCCATTTAATCTATACAGTGTGACCTGTGTGATAGGTCATCATAGCTATTTATTGAACAAAAGGAGCTATTCAAGTATCCTACTAAAGTATTTTAAAGTGGGACTTTTATGTATAAAACAAGGAAGATTCTTTCAAGATGAGGAATCCAAAGAAAGGGAGGATTTTTACTTCTACATGCTCATAATGGCATGAACAGTGGGTGTTTAGAGTGTAGCAAGGTTTACGTGAAGCTGAGGTGTAAAGGTTATATAGATCCTAGTTTTTTTAGCTTACTGACTAGGGAGGGTGAAACTGCATTCAATGTGTAGGTTGGGGCTCAAGTCTGGACTGGAATGGATTTGCTTCCAGCTTTACTCTCCTTGATGGATGTGGGCCAGAGAAATAGTATCTGGTTTTCCTAGAGCAAATGAGAGAAGTGCCCAAAACAGATTTCTTTTGGCAACCCAATCTCAGGAGTGACATCACATCACCTTTGCTACCTTTTATCCACTGAATGTGAGTCACTAAAACCAACCCACACTCAAAGGGGAGGGGTTATTCAAGGAGGCAGGGATATTAGAGGCCATCTTAGAGGCTGCCAATTACAGTAACCCATTTCATTTAACCCTGTATATCAAAAATGTCCTTAATACGTAATCAATATATAAAAATTAATAGATATTTAATATTTTTGTACTATGTCTACAAAATAGTGTATTTTACACACAGCACCTCTCAGGTCAGATTATATATTTTCATTAGAAATAGTTGACCTGGGGCCTCCCCTGGTGGCGCAGCAGTTGAGCGCTGGGCTGCTGCGAGGCTGCCCGCAGCCTCTGCAGTGCTGGTTCATTCCCGGGCCACCAGCAAGGGTCCCACAAAAAAAAAAAAGAAAAAAAAAAAAGAAAAAAGAAAGAAATAGTTGATTTCTATGTCATAAAATTTGTAGTTGAATGATACATCTACTTACTAAGTTGTTCCAAAGTACTTAAATGTTTTCTCGTATCTGAATTAAGTACCATCTTAAAATAAATCTACATTAATAAGTAACTTAACAATATAGTCCCTCAGTCACACTAGTGATATTTCAAGTGCTCACTAGCCACATGACTACCATTCTGGAGAGCAGAGTCCTTAGAAGTTGGGCTACAAAAGGAAGGAGTGAAATAAAATTGTAATTGAAAGGAGGAGAGAAGTAGAAATAAAGATAATAGAATTCTGTCTCTGCATTTTGTCTGTGTATGAGTGTGTGTCCTTGGAGAAAAAAACTGCTATGATGGAAACATAGGGTATAATTAATATGGCTTTAGATTATTGACCAGATTTGACTTAAGGTACAATGGGGGCAAAAATCTGAAATGATGTATGGCTTGTGATAGGGACCACGTATTTCAGGTGTTGAAATGTAAAAGAATTGAGTGTGGGAGACTGAAACCAGAAGCTTTTCAAATTTCCTTTGGCATTTGTCACTCTATTCATCATTTTTTCCTAGTGTGGTTGCCAACAGAGTGAAAAACTCTTGGAAATGGAACCACTTCCTGAGAGCCTCAGAGGAGACTCTTTCCTAACCAGGACCATAATTGGTTTCACAATAAGAAGAACTCCCAGTGTCACTCTCCCAACCAAATGTTATTTGTGAATTAGTTCAGCCACCATGTGCTGCCCCAATCCTAAAATATCATATTTCCATTTTCAGTCACTAAGCAAAATCATTATGCACAGATCTCTATGTTAGTGATGGAAGTGACCTGGAATTATCTAGCCTAATACCTGTATGTTGTAAATGAGGGGATAGTGAACCAAAAATTTATGTCCTTAAGGTAACACAAGTGGCCATTTTGGACACTTCCAAGCTTTTTGACGGATGGAGATGGTGACACTTACCTGATACTCTGAGTTCAGAGTTAGTATATGTAAAACATATTGAACAATCTCCGACACATAATAAATACTCAAGGGTTAGCTGGCTTCGATAATATGGTAATAAAATAGAATAAAATCTAACATGGCTTTCTTTTCCTTTTTGTTCTTATTGGGCATTACCTTTGAGACACAGAGTTAGATTAATAACTATTTACTGTGTTGTGAAGAATACCCACTGTCTCTAATTAGTAGGGATGCCAAAAGTGACTGAAATATGAATTCTTCAAAGTGGGAAGAGAATAAAGAATTAGGTTATTTTAATCATGATCCTTGTTTGTCAAGGAAAGTACAACTAGAATATTTGTGCTCTGACCTACAGATTGGCTGCATGACCTCAGGCAAGTGACTGAACATCTGGGCAAAATGAAGGAGGTTTCTTCCCACTCTAGAATTCAGTGTGTCACAATTTAACCCCTAACATCATTCTTTCCCCCAATAGGCAGAGAATTTAGGATTTAGAATCTTCCCAAGGATTGAATACTTTTACTTATGTGGGTCTCTCTGGACTTCTTATACCTCTGACAGATCACAAAATAGTTTAACTCTCACCTACCGCAAGCTCTTTCTCCATGAACTCATGGAATTGATGGCCCTGTCTTTCCTCATCCATCAATTAACCATGTATAGAGAACCCTGACTTGTGCAATTAAAGTTCCAGATGCTGGTAGAGAAGGAGGTGGACCAGGTCCCAACTCTCATGGAATTTCCATTCTGAAAGCTAACACCAAATAATAAGTAAACAAACACTTGATATCAGAGAGTAGCAAATGTGATAATGACAAAACAGGGTTATGTGAAGTGTGGGCTGAGTTGGGTAGGAATGGGCATGAGTGTTAGTAACTCTTTAGAGTGGTCTGAGGATCTCTATGAAAAGGAAATATTCAAAATCAGGAGCAGATGATTTTGAGTTCTATGGTGAAGAGCATTTTGATTCAAGGGGCTAGCTGTGCAAGTCCCTCAGATGTGAAGGGCCTGGGTCTATTTAAGAAAGGGAAGAATATCAGTATGAATTACACAGGATGCTGAAATACTGAGAGGAAACCTCCAAGGTTAGAAGAGGCTATTTCAGTGGTTTCTTTATTTTTAACATGCATCACAATCACTTGGAGATTGTTAAGTGTGGACCCTGTTCTTCCTCCTGCCCAAGTGCATCTGATTCTGCAGCTCTGGAATAGGACCTGCGAATATGTTTTTCTGACAAGGTCTCAGATGCTGCAGTTTCTGCTCTGAAATCACATTTTGAGAACCAGAAGACTAGGCCCTTGAAAACTAAGGAAGGAATTTAGGTCTTAATCTCAATGCCCTGGAGACTAGAGAAGAACCAGAGATGGGGTGCGATCTGATTTACATATTTAGAAGGTCAATTTGATTACTGCAAAGGGAAGATTTTAAGGGACAAAGGAGAAACAAGAGCGACCACTGGAGCAGTCAACACAGCAGATGATGGCATAATTACCAGAGTGGTAGCCTAGGAGCTGGTGAAAAGTACATCGATGGAGGATGTTTCAGAGGTAAGAGTCCACAGGACTTGGTGATGGATTGGAATAAGAGACAGGGATAGTGAAGCATCAAACTGTGCCTAGGATATTTGCTTCAGTTAACTGGGTGTTTGGTAGTGACATTTGTAGAAATGTGAAATAGTGGAAGAAAATGGGGATTTGGATGAAGAGGAAAATGAAGAGTTTTGGTTACAAGATACATAGGGGTATCCAAATGAGATGACCACTGATGATGAGATTATTGGGAATATATAATGTTTAATAAACTTTGTATTAAAGATGTGAATTTGAGAGTCATCGATTTAAAGACAGGGAGTTTAATGGAATCACCAGAAGTAGGGGGCTGTAGAAAGAGAAGGAGCTCTGGCTGTAGCTAGAGAAGGAGCTCTGGCTGTAGCTAGAGAAGGAGCTCTGGGATTTTCCAACATTTAGAAATCCGGCTATGAGATTGGTGACTGAAGAGTGGCAGTGGAGAAGAAGAAAAGGGTAGATTGTGTTGTCACAGAGTAGCCCAGAGAAGAAAATCTCAAGCAGAGGGCTTGGGCAACTGTGAAATTATTGGAATTTATAAACTTACTCAATTATGACGGAGATGAAACAATCTCCTTATTAATTGTCCGTTGAATTTGTATACACATTATAAGAGAAATGTGTCTCAACAGTCATGTCTTGGGTCTGTCCTTATAATTAATTATTGTTATCTTTTAAAGTCATTTTAATATATTTACTCTGATGTTAGACTCAGCAAGAAAAATAACCATTTGCTGTTCTTCATTGCGTTCCTTCAAACACATAGCACAATTTATGCACACCAATGGAACACATTTTTAACAAAATCTCTTGTTTCATTAAACTAAGAGAGAGACACTAAGAAATTGTTTTAAAGGATTGGTTTCCACTTTCTAGTTAAAGTGCATAGTTTAGGGGCATCTCAACATTGTTAGTTATTTTTAAAGCTTGCCTCATCAACACTTAGCACAAAGCAGCTTAGTTTGATAGCCCTCTATTATGTACCGAGAGGGTAACTGTTTCATTTCCTTTTGGTCATTAGAATACAATGCTTGAAAAGCCTATTGTTTTGAGACTTTTAATTGCACTGTTAGGTTTCTGTCTTTGATAGTAAAGTTATATTTTTGTATAGTCTTTATTTAACTGATTCTGTTAAGTGTGCTATCTAAATATAGCAAACTAGTGAGATCTCAATACTTAATAAGTAGCTTATTAAGGATGTAAGTACATCCCATATGACAAAACTTTTTTCTTTCAAATCAAGAGGTATTTTAGTAGTAAATTTCTGTTGTTGTGCTGAACTCTTTTATTCCCTCTTTTCATTTAATCAGATGTTAATATTGACACGAATGGAATAGTAATTACAGCGGACACATGCTTTTTAGCTTGCTTGATAAAGGATAAAAAGACCAGTTGTAATAGCAAATTGTCAATTGGATTCTGTGTTGAAATGATGTTCTGATATTTTCCAAATGTATTATTGTATAATGTGAAATTGTTACAGGGCAGGGAGAGGGGCAGCCCAAACCCTGCAAACCTGCCTATTCTAAACGGTTTCTGCCATCCGCCGCATCAACACAAAACATATGAGACTTTAATGGGAAGGAACTTTAATAAAACTAGGAAACAATACAGGAAAGGCAAAGAATCTAGTTTCTAAATCAAGCACCCAAAGTTACCCGTCCCCTCGTGGGTAAAAGTCCATTCAAATGGGATTGGCCCAGAGCAAGGCCCCAAAGCCTGCCACAAGTCTAAGGAATCTTCCAGTGGGGACCCTCAGAAAAGGGTCAGAAACAACCAGACAAGCCCAGAAGGAAAAGAGCAAAATCAATATCAAGATAAAAGCTGCCATTGTCACCTCCCCATGGGTCTCACCCACATCTGTGTCACCCAGTCCACGACCAAAAGACAAGCGCAGTTTCTTCACGTGTCTCTAGGCTCCATGCGCCTCCTCCAGGTCTCCTGGCTCCATCCTGCTTCCTTCCTTCCTCAGTCTCTTCTGCATCTTCTCCTCTTCCTGCTCAGCTCCACCCTCCCTTGGGTGGAGCAGGAACCTCCCCCTTTCCTGGGGACCACCCTGTTACAAAATTGTACCTTAATTTTCACTTTGAAAAGTGATTGTAATATTGAGATAACATTAGTGAATAAAGCAATGATTTACTTAAGCATTAATTTACTGTGCCTTGTTGCTTTTAAGGTTTAAATAATGAATTTTTATTCTGTGCCAGAGAAGTTTTCTGCCTCAGAGATCTTTTCAGTATAACCTCCTTTTCACCCACCCCTGTGTGAAATTTGCTATTGTTTACTGTTGAGGGTAGCAGCCTCTAAGGAGCAGAGACTGATGCTTAAACTAGGCCACGGGAGTAGAAGAGCTTACGTGAAAATCCCTAGGGTTAGAACACTAAGCAAACATTCCTGTTTAAAAGGGGTGGGAAATCCAATTACTATAATTTAAAATATTAATGAAAACTAGTATTATTAAGCTGTAAATTATTGAATGTTGATATATTTTTGTTTTTCATTACCAGAATTTCCTATACTTAGATTAGGTTATAACCTTTGATTATTTTCATTATATGTTTTGTGGTTTATGGGTAACATTTAATTTTGTTATTATAGCTTCGAAGTATTTCAACCAAAAAATTGAGAACACTGGGGGTAGGTAAAAGATATTTTTAAAATACTGCTGGTGAGTAAAAGTTCAGATAAGTCTTAATGCTACTTAGGATGCAGGTCAATTCTAGGTCTCTATCTGGTATTCTTTTCACTAGATTATATTAGTGAGCTTTAATCAGACAGACACAATCCAAATATACTCTAAAAGGATTACAACTGGGGGCCAATATATAATTGATTCTTCAGGCTCTGCCTACCTTAGTTCTACTTTTCTTTTAAGAACTGAGTCACAAGTCTCCTCTTTGAAGTATACCTTGATAACTGCTTCTCCTCCCCCACAGAGCTAGTTTTAGCTTGCTCATTACCTTGATTTTTCAAGATTGTCCATCTGTTTTATGATACTTATTTTTTGCTTCATGTTCATTATTTACTTTTACGTTGCATCTTCCCTATTGGATTTCTTGTTCGTTAGGAAAGATTTGATTTGATTCACATTTGCCTTTCAATTTATAGGAACAAAGGTGACAAATGCTTTATTATTTAGAGTAATACTAGGTGCCATTAAGATGTTCAGTAGTGTAACAGGGTGGTCCCAGGGGAAGTGGGGGGGGTTCCAGATTCCCTGCCCCACCCAAGAAGAGTGGAGCTGAGTAGGGGGGAGAAGCTGGAGAGGAGACTGAGAGAAGAAAGGAAGAAAGATAGAGATCAAGAAGGAGACCTGGAGGAGGAACATGGAACAGACATGTGAAGAGACTCTGCTTGCTTCTTGGTCTTGGACTGCTTGAAATAGATGTGGGTGAGAGACCCATGGGAAGGTTAACAGTGGCAGCTTTTATTTTGATTTTGATTTTGCTCTTTTCCTCCAGATTTGTCTAGAGGAAGGCCCCTTCTGCCCTTTTCCTATGAGTGCCCACCAGCAGGTGCCTTAGACTTGTGGGCTTTCAAGTTTCAGTGGCCTGTTTGGCTGGACATTTACATCCACAGGGGATGGGCAATTTCGGGGGCTTGATTTCAAAACTCTGTTCTTTCCCTCCTCTTTGTTGCACCCTAATTTTATTAAAGTTCCTTTCCATTAAATGTCTTATGCACTAGATTATGTTTGGTCTTGATGGCAGAAACTATTTAGGGTGGGCAGGTTTGGGGTCTCCTGGGCTGCCCCTCATCCTGCCCTGTAACAGTAGAAGTTTTTTTTTAAGTAGAGTTTAGTAATTAGAGATGGATTTTCATCATAGGCTAAGGAAAGAACCTTAGAAAATAAGACAGTCACACATACACAGAATATTAAAACTGTGAATCAGAGGCAGTCATTACCGTGTGCAGCAGACATGTGAGACAGCCCAAGAATTTGTGACTCAATCTGGACCTTGAAGGATATAGATAATATGAGTAAAGTCAGAGAGGTCAAATGGAGACCAGGATGAGCAAGCCTGGAGATGGGCTGGCACATGGAATGATGGAAGTAGGGGATGGCAAGTCACAGTGGCAGCAGGAGGTGCCTGTCTTCTTTCACTGACACTTTTGAAAATGAAGTCCACGAAGTTGTTCCTACTGCTTTTTATCCTTGCCCGTGGCAATTGAATTCTTCTTGTCTTTCCTGTGATACTCTTTAAAAGCCCTGAGGTTCCCAGTTACCCCTTACAAATAAATTTAGTGTGGGCCTCCCTGGTGGCGCAGTGGTTGAGCGCTGGGTTGCGAAGCTGCCCGCGGCCTCTGCAGCACCGGTTCGATCCCCGGCTGCTCCCCAGCCACCGGAGGAGGGTCCCACATGGCGCGCAGACCTCTCCTGCCGCCCGCTGCTCCCCTCAGCAGTGTACCTCGGTCCTTCTGCCTGCTCTGCTCCCCGCTCTGGCTCTGGTGAATTCTCTCACCCTCCCGGGCTTCTGACTATACCCAGTGCTTGTATAAATAAATAAAAATAAATCTTTAAAAAAAAATAAAATAAATTTAGTGTGTTTTTCGATACTCATCTTTAAAAAAATAAAATGTTAACTTAATTTCTAAAAATCCAACACATAATTCTCAAAGCACAATAAAAAATTATTTTCTCCCTTGCTTTGGTACTTCATCTCTGTGGGAAGTATTCATTGAATTCATTCATTCAATAAATAACAGTGCCTACTGTGTGGCAGGCATTGTTTGAGAGATTCTGTGCCTTTGCAAACACATGTGACACATGGCAGTGGAGATAAATCCCCATTTTTATGGGATTAATTGCTCTATAATGGAAGGAAAACTGGTAAATAAGTAAAGCAGAAGGAAATGAATTACATTCAACTAAGGAGCAGATGTGGCAGTGGATCCTGAGACAGGATTGTTCTGTATGTTGAAGTCAAAGACAATCATGGGATTGGAGTGCAGTGATCCTAGATAAAAGTGTGAGATGGTAGGTTCCTGGTAAAGGAGGACAGTTTATAAAATTCCTTATTCTGGGTGGGGTTGGAAGCCAAAGGAGGGTGGGAGAGGATGGATGGTGGGCTGATTTACATTTCAAAAGACTCACTTCAGCAATTGAATGTAAAATAACAAGACTGGGAGCCGGAAGACCAGTTAGCGGCTTGAACAGAGGTGTTTGGGTAACAGGCTGCTGGATTCTGGGTGTATGATACAGAGTTGGCAGAACTTGTCCATGGAATAGATTGTAAGTATGTGTGTGAGACAGAATTTTTGGCGCAAGTAACTGAAAGAATTGTGATTTACTGAGTTGGAAGACTTGGAGAGGAAAGGATTTGGTTTGGAGGAACTAGGGGAAGGAAACTGAAGTTAAATCAAATTTGAGATCCATTTAGTCAATGCCCCTTGTCAAGAAGGCCTGGGTTTACAAATCTGGAGTAAAAAGGGAAGAGCCACACTGAATATTTGGTGTTAAGATTTTTCTTTATATAAAAGGATTCTTGTTATACTTATTGAAACAATTTGTAAAATTCATTTCTGTTGCTATTGAAAAGAAAGGTTTTTGCTTTCATTATACTATCTGACTACTTCTTGCTTTTCTTTTTATGCAGAACAATTGACTTTAGTATGTTACTCCAAACCACTTTACTGAATCCTGTTATTTATAAAAGTTTCCTAATTGATTCATTGATTTCTCATCTCCTTTAAATTTTCTTTGGAATTTTACCAACCATTCAATTTATAGTCATTCATAGCTTCATTTTCTTTCCTTAACCTGAAATATCAATTATTTCATGTGTTTTCTTGTGAGTTTCTATTCATTCTCCAAAGCCCAACTGATGTGTGCCTTCTGAAAATATTTCTGCTTTCTGGAATCCTACTTTCTCTTCCCATGAACTTCAGCTATACCAACTTTACACCTGTATCAAAGCAGTCATCAAAATTTATTAGAATTTTGTAAATATTAGTCCTTTTGGGGTACAAAGCCTGAGTAGAAATGGGGTCTCGACATCTTTGTATCCTCAATGTTTAAATGAATGCTGTACATGATTATCCACTTAATACTTTTATTGAACATAAGAGCAGTCAAATTCTGCAGATTAAACTTTTTTAAATTAGTTTTTTTATATAGACTTTATAAACTTGCCATAGATTGTAATTTAAAAATTGATTTTTTTCACTATTATAAATATTTTCTAAAGTACAATATATTTTTGCATTTTACTCATAAAAATTAAAGACCTATTATTTTAGAAAATTTATATACAATGTAGAAACTTCTCTTTTTTTCATGATGTTACGTGCATAAAGGTGCTTGGATTTGTAAGACCTTAAATTTTGAAAATACTGAATGTGTGGATGTTGCTTATTTACTTACGAAGAAACCCTTTTGTTTGACTTTATTTATTAAAAATTTATATTTTATATTTAATTAATTAATAATTATTAAAATTTATATTTTTCTGAATGGAAGCAATAGTATTCTTTTTTTTTTTAAGATAGATTTATTTATTTATTTATTTATTTATTTATTTATTTATTTATTTATACAAGCACTGGGTACAGTCAGAAGCACAGGGGTGCGAGAGAATTCACCAGAGCCAGAGCGGGGAGCAGAGCAGGCAGAAGGACCGAAGTACACTGCTGAGGGGAGCAGCGGGCGGCAGGAGAGATGTGCCTGCCATATGGGACCCTCCTCCGGTGGCCGGGGAGCAGCTGGGGATTGAACCGGCACCTCAGAGGCTGCGGGCAGCTTTGCAACCCAGTGCTCAACCACTGTGCCACCAGGGAGGCCCATGGAAGCAATAGTATTCTTCCGAAAGTAATCAGCCTTTCATCAAGTTAGCATTTCCAAAAGCTGTTTTGCAGTACTTAAAAAATGTGTATGCGTCATTACTTGTGGCTAGTTTATTTTTCTTTTCATGTTTCATTTTTTTTCAATCCATCAAATTGTTATAGAGCAGCCCCGATATTAAACGGGTTCCTGGCTGTGGGTCCTCACCCACGTGCTTTAAAGGGTCTTATGAATACTCTACTACAGACACACACAAAAGGTTAATAAAAGGTTTATTTACAAGAGAAAAGGAAATAAGGAAAATGTACAACTCAGGGAGAAAATAGGGTAAACCAATAAATTGGCCCATGTGAATTTTTTCCAGCTATCTACTACCTATTTCTGTTACAAATTATTTAAAGGATTGTCCTAATAAGTGACACTGAAACATTTAATAGAATAATTATTTGTAACATTGTCATGGAAACAAATATAATTTTCAAATAACTTATCACAGTTCCTTGTTCATGCCTAAGCATAGTAGGAATCCAGCATGCTGCTTCTTGCAGGGAGTTAGAAATGTAGGCACACAAATGGAGCTGGTATATAGGAGAAAATGTTGCATTTATGGAATCTTTGTACTATTTAGGGAGAGACTCAAGAGTGGTAGGGAGAAAGGGTGGTTTCAGCTAGCCTTAGAATGTTAGAGTTAGCATCTATAGATATGAAGAGTAGAATGAGAGGCACAGACATAAGAGCTACCATAAGAGCTACTATAAGAGATACAGAGGTAAGACTATCTCATCTCCATCTTGAGACAGTAAGAATTTATATTTCATAATTTATCTCAAGTCATACTTTTTGTTTTACTGTAGTAGCACATGTGAATTGAACTTAATGGAGGCAAATATCAAACTTCTTTGTTGCAGTATATCTTTTATCATCAAGGAGTGTGGGTATATTGTTCAATTGATAACAAACAGAAAAAGTTGATTAAAAAAAAGCAAAAAAAAAAAAAATCCCTTAATTCCATCATCTCTGATAGACAACTGTTAGCATTTTGGTGTATATATTTTCTAGTTGTGAAAAGCATATGCATGTATAGTTTGCTTATTTTTATAAAATTAGATTGTATTATAAAGTTACTTAAAAATGTATATTATTTCTAGTGTTTTGTTTTTATTTTAGGAAAAAAACAAAAGCCAAGGCACCACTTCCTCCAGCTGAGACCAAAAACATTGATGTCATTTCTGTCTATGACTCTGTAGAATCCTCTGCTTTCATCATGGATCAGAAAGAAAACCTGGTAGATAAAGACATTGAACTCTCAGTAGTTCTACCTGGGGATATTATCAAATCTACTACAGTTCATGGCAGGTATGATGGAGCAAATGAAATACCAGAACTTTTGTTTCTTCTTGTGTCATTGAAATCCTCTGTTCTACCCTTCTTGATTTTTTTTCTCTGAAAAAAAACATGTTATCACTCAATTATCTCTTAAAATAATGCTGAAAGGTACTAAAATTTTTCTAACATGTTTTAATACCATTACTATGAATTTCACAACTCTAGTTAAGCCATTCTTGAAAATAACCCACTTTACATTTTGTTAATTGCTTATTTTTTTAAAAAAAATTCTTTTTCAGCAGAATGTTTATTAGTTATGTTGATTTTATAAGTCGAATTTCCTAAGTCAGGCAGTGTGACCCATGAGAAAATCCTTACCTTTCTTCTCCAAATTATTCTTTCTCTTTTAAGCTACTTCTGTGAATTTGATTTTGTGGAAGTTACCAAATACTGTTAAAATCTCATTCTTATTTATCAAAATTTGATAAATCTATCTTTAAATTGGGTTTAATTAATTTACTGAAAGTATGAATAATTTTAATAGAAATGTCAAGTTAAACTTTAAGCTACCAAGAAGTGAATATATGATTTAAGAGACTGATAGTTTCAATACCTGCATAAAAATTGGAAAATTGGAATAAAGCCAAGTGTAATTTTCCATTTCATTTTGAAGTGGAAAGTTACATGAGTTGTATGCTTGGTTTTGTTTCACCTTTCATCATCAACTGGCCTTTTGTTATCAGGTCACCTGTTTTAGAAATTTAAGCTGTTTTGACCTTAGTGCAGCATGTGTGAACATGTGTGCAGAACCAAAGAATAAGTTAAGCCAGCAAAATATGGGTATTGTATTCTTACAATGTGTATTTATCTAGAAGAAATTCATTCAAGATAAATTTAATATCTATCCTTAAGATTATGTGTAACTTTACAAATTATGAGAAATGTTCAGCATTAGCAAACAAAATATATAATATTGTGCATTTAAAGCTCAGTAAGTTTCAGTAAGTTACATTTTGCCATTTATTTTGTATTTAATGTAGGTTTGGTGATCACACATTGAACTGTATTCATGAGTTTAAGAAACTTATAGTTGCCCTCGTTCCTTGCCTTCCACCTTAGATATAGGTCATCACCTGGGAGGTGCCCCTCTGGGTGAAAAAGGCATCTTATAAAGTAGAGACAATAGTCATCATCTTCAGTCCTTGAAATAATGCTATTAACCTGGCTTTAAAATAATGATAACAATGAATATGACTGGGTGTAATAAAGGCAATTTTGCTTATTTTCTCTGAATTCAAAACAATTTTTAAAAAGTCAGTATCTTCCCCAGTTCTTCACTGGTGCTGACAGGTTACTTGCTCCCATCACAGTGGTCCTCAGAAGTTTTTCCGGGCATACCAGTCCCGGCTTTGTATTGCAGTCATCTTTATCAGCCTTTTGGGTTTTTTAAATTTATTTTTTGTAACCTCGATGACTTCAGTATTAAAATCACGGTTTTCCATTCTATCCTGTCCCCATTGCAATTATTTTACACTTCTCTGTGTGCTGCGTTGACTAAATTTTATTCCATTTCTTTAACTCTGCAGTCTACTTCCCCTTTCCACCAGGGTGGTGGTGTCTCATCACTTTGAAACTGTTTCATTACTGAAATCTTAGGGTTTCTTCTTGAACACAACCTTTGACATCAACTTACCTCCTTTGTCTTTCTTAATTGAATTTGTTTCTCATCCTCCTTAGGATAAAGTCTAATTTATGACTGCTGTTTAGGTTGCTGTATTTTTCTTCATATTTAACTTGACTTCTACATAGGTCATTCGCAATTGCAGAGACCCTAGATTTTTTTCATTCTTTGGACCTTTTAGCATGTGTGCATCCTAGTTCTTAAACTTGAGTAATTTTTCTATCAATCAGCCTTTTGTTTCTGTGCTATCAACTGTTATTGAATTGCCTCATCTTCTTATCTATAAACATGTTTTATAACTGAATTGTTGTTGGGATTAAATGAAATACTATCAGGGCCTGGCACATATTGGCTTCCTCTATTTTCTATTGAGAACCACTTTCCTTACCCTGGGCTCGCTCCATTTACCCTCCACCCTCACATTAATCTGTCTAAAACAACCCTCTGTGTTGCTACCTTTGGTAAAAGACTGCAGGGACAGCAATTCAATACCAAATTAAGGAAGAAATTAAGGAAGTCCAAACTACCACGCCTGGAGATTGAGACGCCTTATTTTCTTCTCCTCTAAAATCAAGTAGACTTTTTCTTTACTGCTTCTCTGTGTATCTTAAGCTTCAGCCCCATAATTGTTCTGTACATATTCTGCTTTTTCCACCTCTACACCTTTATGAAAGTGTTTCTGGAGTACCTTCCCAGCTACATTTTCTCCCGTTTATATAACACAACGTTTTTTCTTAATAGAAAGACTCCTTGATCTCCCTAGACTGATCTCCCTAGACTTCAAACTCTTCTCAGACTTTATATAATTTGATGCTATAATTTATGTTCCATTCCTGGCCAGCTGGGGAGAAACCCCCATGGTGCAGTAGACCTCTCCTGTCTCACCGGCTGCTCCCCTCAGCAGTGTCTTCTGTCCGTCCGTCTGCCTGTTCTGCTCCCCACTCTGTCTCTGGTGAATTCTCTCACCCTCTCACACATCTGGCTTGTACCCCAGTTTTTGCATAAATAAATGAATCTTTAAAAAAAAAATAGATGTTCAAATAGAAAAATGTATTCTAGGGCCTCCCCGGTGTCATTGCGGTTGAGCGCTGGGTTGCGAAGCTGCCTGCAGCCTCTGCAGCGCCAGTTCGATCCCCGGCTGCTCCCCGGCCACCAGAGGAGGGTCCCACATGGTGCGCAGACCTCTCCTGCCTCCCTCTGCTCCCCTCAGCAGTGTACTTCGGTCCTTCTGCCTGCTCTGCTCCCCGCTCTGGCTCTGGTGAATTCTCTCACCCTCCCGCGCTTCTGACTGTACCCAGTGCTTGTATAAATAAATAAATAAATAAATCTTTAAAAAAAAAAAGAATATTAAAAAAATGTATTCTATTTCTGAAAAATAGTAGGTACCTACAGTGAAGTGTCATTGTGACATCCGTAAAATTAATTTCCTTATGGTTAAGTAACAATAAGGACATGGGAGAAATGTCAGCAGAGTGGTACAGGAATTTGGTGGGAAACTAGGGAAGAATAATTTTAAATAAGTTTAAGCCCATAATATGGTTTTCTTAGATGAATCACACATAATATATCTCATTATGAAGGGTCTCTAATTTTTTGAGACTATCTTTCCTTAGTGGGTTTAGATATTCTAAGATTTATTTTGAGAGTTGTATGTATTTCCTTTGAAGAAGTATAATATACTGCAACAAATGTTTAGAAAACTTACATGCTTCATTTAACTTTTTGGAATTTTTTTTCTCAAAACATATCCTTGGGGAACATTTTTAGAAAGTTCCCTTCTTACACAACTCACACAGAGATATGCTTAGAATGTTCCATTTGAGAGAATGTGAACACACAGCATTATCTTCAGAAGAATGCCCTTGTTTGTACATAGATTTTTTTTTTCCACCAAAAGGCTTATTCAGATTAGGGAACACAATAAGGTTGGATATGGTAATGGACTTTATGATAAAATTAAATACTTGTTATCCTGAATTAGGTTGATAGTCTCCTGTAGCTTAATAATCTTTTGCTACTAGAGTTTAATGATGCTGCCTCTTTAATAATTAAAAGTTATCCTTTGTCTACCATCTTGACATTTTGAGCCTTTCCTTAAAATGAGGGCAGTGCCAGCCAGAAAACCCATTGAGTATTTCTGTGAATCCTAATATCATGGATTACTAGAGTGAAGGAAGAATTAAAAGATTTTACATATTCATTGTGAAACATTTTGCATATAATATACAATGCAGAACATGTATTATGTCTATCTGTGTCTGTCTGTCTCTATATATCTCTCCATTTTTTTTTCATTTTCCAAGGTTTCAGTTACCTGCAGACTGAAAATATTACATATAATACTTTGAGCGATGACACATTCACATAACTTTTATTATGATTTTTTTAAGATTTATTTTTTTATTTATGCATATAAGAACTGGGATGCAGGCCAGAGGTGTTGGAGTTGGAGGGGTGAGAGGATTCACCAGATGCAGAGTGGGGAGCAGAACAGGCAGATCCACTGAAATACACTGTTATGGGGAGCAGTGGGTGAGACAGGAGAGGTCTGCTGCACCTTGTGGGTTAGCTCCCTGGATCAAACTCAGGCTGCAGTGGCTGCAGATAGCTTGATAGGTTGAGACTTTAACCCCTGCACCACCAGAGAAGCCCTATTATATATATTTTTGTAATAGTTCAATTTCATTATTGTTAATCTTTTACTTTTAATTGTTAATCTTATACTTTGTCATAGGTATTTATGTATAGAAATAAAGTGTACATAGGGTTTTAGTATTATCTGGGAGTCTTGGAATGTGTCTCCTGCAGATAAAGTCGATGACTATAGAGATGTAGGTAGACATAGACTAAGATGATAGACATAATATGTGTGTGTGCGTGCAGGCATGAGCACACACTGATAAGCAACCTTTTTCACCCAACAGCAGCTCTGTGCCTTATAAACAGTGAACATCAAAGCATACTGCTGTTAGAGACAAGCTGCCCAGGGACTGTCCTCAGAAAATGCTACAATATACAACATTAAGAAAGTTTTCTATCAATATTTGAGAAAAGTTGACTTTTTAAAGAAAATAACTTATGGGCTAAATTGTTATAGATACTACATAGGATATTTGCACTATGTTGGTGTATTTGTATATCACTGTAGAGCTTTCCTTTGTAGTCAGATATCTGCCCAATATCACATAACTTTTATTATGATTTTTAAAAAAGATTTATTTATGCATATAAGCACTGGGATGTAGGCCGGAGGTACATAACTATTCCTCATTGAGTAAGTATTCATTCTTTTTCCATCTTTTCTCTTTCTCTGGAAAACACTTTAAACCAATTTCAACTTGGGAAATCT